TGAAGAAAATATAGAAAATGTGATTTATTTTTGAACAAGAAATAAAACAGACCTGTTCCCAGTCATAGACCTGAAAGCTCAAAACTTGAGTTTCCGGGTCCTTAACGACAAAACTGAACTCTTCATTCCATTCGGGATTCAAATTGCTATGTTTGACAGTTGTTTTTTTGGTCGACATGTCATCGTCCAAGAGTTTTAGCTTCACATAAGGGTCAGATGCCCCTAAAAGATCCTTTTTTTTAAGCTTCATTGCCCTCACAACAATCACATTTAGAATCCCAACTGGTTTCTTCATTGCCCTGTTTCAAATTGAAAGGATTTAGCAGGATTTGCCTATACTCAAAACTTATGTTTATAAAAAAAATGGTCACTGGAAGTAGAATAGGAAAATAAACCTTACTTTGTGGGATCCATTATTTGGACTTCTAATCTTTTTGGCCATAAATACATGTTTGCTACCTGATCCTTTATAATTTCCTGGTTATAAAAAGCAATAGATCTGGTAAAGGACCGAATTTCCATACGAAACTCAAAAACCGAGTAGTAACATGATAATTACTGATGAAAGTCTGGTTATCTACGAATTTATTTCGAAAAATCGAACTATGTCATACCTGTACGATTCTGTATGCACCGGGAATTGACATAAGATCAGCCCCCAACAGCTTCACTCCAAAATCAACATGAGGCTAAAAGATAGGTCATTGAAAAAATAAAAAAATGAAATTGAATATATATGTATACATACAATTGTGCAGTTAGCTTTATATGTTCAATTTTGGTTTTGATAGAAGACACTATGGTTCGCTAAAGCTTAACAGGATTCGCATGATAAATAACTTTTTTCAGTTGCTCCAAAACATGTACTTTATGTTCTCTAAACTAAAACAACATGCTTAAATTGGAATTTAAACTGCCAAATTCATACCTTTTCCATGAGAGAAACATGTATATTTACAAAACAGGGAAAGCTCGGGACCAGAGGCTTTAGAGTAATACGCGGAGATGCAAACACTTGCAGTTCAAGCACCTGAAAAAAACACTAAAAATGGTAAAAACAACCATTTGTGAAGTAGCAACAATATTTTTTTTTTTTTTTTTTCTTTTCATTAAGAGAAAGGGAATAATATGCTGAAATTAAGGATATTTAGTGTAACTAACCCAAATAAAATATACCTGTACAGTAGCTTTCAATCCAAAGGCCTTGGCAGCAACAAGTATATTAGGATTACCTGCCCACTTCAATCCTAATTCCATTATCAATTCTTTCTCCTCAGTGTTGTATACTTTCATTCCTGGCATGGTGTAACATAATTTTATAATTATAATGAAATGAAAAGGAAGTCAATATACAAAACAAATAATTTCGATGGCGTAAAGCTTGTGTGACTCATGAAAATGACTATGCAATAATCAGGTACAACAAGAAAATAGTTGCAGACCTTGAAAAGTAGGCGGCAGGCTTCCCAAAGTAAGTTCTTCAAATTCTACCGAATCAATCTTGTATTTCGGAATTTGTTCGGCTACAATGGGCTGTGCTATTTGCTTTGCCATCTTGCATATTGCCTAAGAATGAACGATTTTATCATAGAAAATGGTAATTTTTTGTTTTTTTTTTTTCATGGAAGTTGCTAAATAACAGCTTCATACCTTATCTAAGTAAGGCCACATATACTCGACGAATTTGTTTAGCCAATCAAGCTGACGAACAGACGCAGTAAACACATGAGATTTTGTTGTGACCAACTGTAAAAAAGTCAATTTTTCAAGTAAAAAGTATATGAAGTGCACCCGATCATAATCTGGATTTTTTATCCAGAGTGGTATTTCTGGAAGCAGCTTTTGGAGGTCTTCAGGAGTTTGCTCGGCCAAAGGCCGAACTTCAGGATTCTGGATTTTGTGTTGTTAGCAAAGAAAGTGAACATAAACTCAAATTATTTCCTTAGTTTATGTCA